AGGTGCATGCGAGGATGCTCAATCAACTGAGCTATACCAACGAAGGATGTTGTTTTAACTTTTTCAGGAACTGCCATACTGTTTCCATTGTGCATTCCTTTTCCTCCACATTTTTGTCCACACTTGTTTTTATCTTTTTTATAATAGTCATCTGACAAATGTGAGGTGATAACACATTGTGGTTCTAATTTACATTTCGCTTATAATTAGTGATGCTAAGCGTCTTTTCATGTACCTGTTGGCCATCTGTATATCCTCTTCAGAAAAATATCTATTCAGATCCTCTGCCCATTTAAATATATATATATTTTTTTCTTTATTTCAGAGAGGAAGGGAGAGGAAGAGAGATAGAACAACAAGGAGAATCATTGATTAGCTGCGTCCTGCAAGCCCCCTACTGAGGATCCAGCCCACAAACCAGACATGCACCCTGACTGGAAATGGAACCGTGACCTCTTGGTTCATAGGTCGACACTCAACCACTGAGCCACACTGACAGGGTCCTGCCCATTTTTTTTTCTTTTTAATCCTCATCTAAGGATATTTTTCATTGATTTTTAGAGAGAGTGGAAGGGAGAGGGAAAAACAGAGAGAAATAGCGATGTGAGAGAAACACATCCATTGGTTGTCTCCTGCACATGTCCTGACCAGGGCCTGGGCCTGGGAGGAGCCTGCAACCGAGGTCCGTGCCCTTAACCGGAATCGAACCCGGGACCCTTTGGTCTGCAGGTTGACGCTCTATCTACTGAGCCAAACCAGCTAGGGCCCATTTTTTTAATTAAACTCTTTTGTTTTGCTATTGAGTTGTATGAGTTCTTTATTTATTTTGGATATTCATTCCTTATCAGATATGTGATTTGCAAATGTTTTCTCCCATTCCCTAGGCTGCCTTTTCATTTTGTTGATGGTTTTCTTTACTGTGCAGAAGCTCTGTAGTTTGATATAGTCCCACCTGTTTATTTTTGCTTTTGTTGCCTTGACTTTTGGAGTCAGTTCTAAAAAAAAAAACCCACTGTCCAGACACTAAGACTGATGTCAAGCCACTTAACTGTCTAAGTTTTTTGTAGGAGTTTTATGGTTTTAGGTCTTACATCTAAGTCTTAACCCATTTGGGTTTAATTTTTGTGTGTGGCATAAGATAGTCTAGTTTTATTATTTTGCATGTCCAGTTTCCCCAGTGCCATTTGCTGAAGGAACTGTCCTTTCCCCATTGTATATTCTTGGTTCCTGTGCTGTAAACTTATTTCTAGGCCCTCTTCTGTTCCATCAATGTGTTTATGCCAATACTCTACTATTTTGATGACTATAGCTATTTAATATAGTTTATAATCAGGAGTATGATGCCTCCAGCTTTGTTCTTTTTTTCTCAAGATTGCTTTGGCTATGCTGGGTTTTTTGTAGGTCCATATAAATTTTAGATTATTAGTTATATTTCTTTGGAAAACACCGTTGGAATATTGACAGGGATTGCACTGAATCTGTTGATTACTTTGGCAGGATGGACATTTTAACAATATTCTTCCAATTGTTAACACCTTCGAACCTGTAAAGAATTTTTGTGAGTTTATTTGAGCCAAACTGTCGACAATTGCCAGGAGGCAGAATCTCAAGGGATTGGGATAATTCTCCAGAGAATGCGGGTTTTCATCTATTTTTATACATTACAGAGGAGGAGACTTAGGTGGGTTACATGAAATCCATTGGTGATAGATTAGGGAGGAGGGAGAAAGCAAAAGAGGGGGGGGACCTCTGGGATTGGATAAAAAGTAAAATGATAGGTTACTTAGGTGAGTACAGGATAGTTAATAGTCAACAATTAACAAGGTAACAATAACAGTGAAGGAATTTGTGGTATCTGTCCTGGCTCCCAGACATTTGGTTGTGCCTTGAGGGGTCTGGAAAAAAGGGAAGTTACAAGTCACCGACACATTTCAATGATACGTTATCGTAGATGCAAAAAGACAATAAGTGCAGTTAAGGTAAAGGTTGATCTTGACAGAAAAGATACCGGCCTAGGAGGTGACTACCCACCATAACTGCTTTTAATTAAAGTTTCATTTCAGACCATCCTTTGTGGCTACTTTAGGTCTTTGAGTTTGCAAGACCGCCATGCAGGCCTTCCCTGAGCTTGTCAGGTTAGCATGTGGCCCCTTTCATCCACACAATCCATGAGCACAGAATATCCTTCCATTTATTTGTGTCTTTTATTGATTAATTGATTGCTTGATTAAATCTTCATTGTTGAAAGTATTACATAGGTCCTCCTTTATCCCTCATTAACCTCTTCTAACCCATTCCTCCCCCCTCTTCTATTTATTTTCATCAATATCTTATAGCCTTTCACGTCCTTGGTTAAATTAATTCCTAGGTGTTTTATTCTTTTTTATGCAATTGTGAGTAATACTGTCTTCTTAATTCTTCTTTCTGATATCCTATTAGTAGTATATTGAAGTGTAATTTATTTTTGTATATTGATTTTGTATCCTATAACTTTACTGAATCTGTTGATTAGCTCTAACAATTTTTCATTGGAGTCTTCAGTAGGGTTTTCTACACATAATATCATGTGATCTACAAATACTGACAGTTTTACTTCTTTCCAATTTGGATGCCTTTTATTTCTTTTTCTTGTATAATTGCTCTGGCTATGACTTCCATTGGGTGTGTGTTTTTGACAAATATGTTTGTGACCGTCATTCTCTTCATTGCACAAATGTTTAATGAGTGTCTATTATGTAACAGTCCTGGGGGAATACGTCATTGAACAATCCAGACTCCCCACCCACAAGCTGTCATTTTAATGTTGTATAGTATATTAGAGATATATAGTATATTTGAGAAAATTTAGTGCTAGGAGGAAAGTAGGGCTAGCAAGGAGGATAAGAGGGCAAGTGTGTGCGTGTGTGTGTGTGTGTGGAGGGTGTGTGTGCAACTTTAAGTAGGCCTGGGAGTATCAAAGTGGTTTTTCCCCTACAGAGGCAGTGTGTGTAGCCAGGGAAGGGGTAAGGGAGGGGTCTTGCACAGCGCTGTCCAGGCTGCTCCTCCCCCCGCCCCCTAACCAAACCCCTCCCCCAAGGGTCTCACAACAGAGCACCTGAGAATGGGGCCAAATGGAGAAGCCACGCCTTTGTGCCTGGGTTCGTTCCCGATACGCTGATTCTTGGCAATTTCTCCGGTCCCTTTCTGATCCCCTTTTCCCAGGCTTATAATTAATAGTAAGGTGAGGCAAAAACTGAATTACAGGCAAAATAACAGGAGTCACAACTCCCTGACCTCAGTCATTAGGTCCACACTCATTTTCTTTAATACCCCAGTACTAGGAGCAGATGCGGGTCCCAGACACCCCTATCGCTCAGGCATTGGGCACCGGGGAACGCAATGAACCGCGAAGCGCACCTCGTGTGTGACATTAATAGTAAGGTGAGGCAAAAACTGAATTACAGGCAAAATAACAGGAGTCACAACTCCCTGACCTCAGTCATTAGGTCCACACTCATTTTCTTTAATACCCCAGTACTAGGAGCAGATGCGGGTCCCAGACACCCCTATCGCTCAGGCATTGGGCACCGGGGAACGCAATGAACCGCGAAGCGCACCTCGTGTGTGACACAACTTGGCGAAGCTACTTTGTCCCGGGAGCCGCACGGGGGGTTCGGGGCACTGCGCATGCGGAGCTCCAAATTCAAACAGCTGTTTCCAGAGGCTGGAGGGCGGGTGGACCGGGGAGCCACTGGGGCTAGGAGACGCGTTGGCCCGGAGGTGGCCGCTCGGGAGCCATGGTGGACCGGGGCCCTCTGCTCACCTCGGCCATCATCTTTTACTTGGCCATCGGGGCGGCGATTTTCGAGGTGCTGGAGGAGCCGCACTGGAAGGAGGCTAAGAAGAAGTACTACACGGAGAAGCTGCATCTACTCACCAAGTTCCCGTGCCTGAGCCAGGAGGGCCTGGACGAGATCTTGCAGGTGAGGCGCCGCGTTGCCCCTACGAACACCTGACGCTGGCTCGAGCTCTGGGAGTGCGGCGGGGGCGCCCTCGCAGCTTTGGGTGACCCTCGGCCCGGTGGGTTGTCCTGGGGGAGACAGGAGGGGTGTCTCCTGGATGTGGTTGCCGGGATCTTTCGTTCACCCGTGGACACAGGAGTCACCTTGGGACCCAGTTTGTGCAGAGAATTTAGGGTTGACCTCCGGGTGAACCGGGCCCCGCGGTGGCTCGCTGTGGGGGTGCGGGTCCCTCCCTCCTTGGAGGGGGGTTGTGGGGCGGAGGAAAGCGTTTATCTTTGCTTGGAGACGCTCCCGGAGTGCGGGAGCCCAGCCGGTTGTCACCCGCCCAGCGTCTGCGCCTCCCATCTCCGGGGCCAGTGCCGCTCCCACACGACTGTTTTCGGGAATGGGAGCTTCGCAGAGTTGCTGGAGGGTCCCCAGGTCCAGCCGGAGCAAGACCCCCTTCCCCCGTCGGGCGAGGAGCGGGATGAGGGCTCTGCCCCGCTGCGCCGCGGGGCCGGCCGGCGGCTGGAATGCTGCGGACGCGCTCGGGCTTCCGGGAGAGCTTATCTCGCCGTCTCGCCTGTCGGGAAGGCTACCTCCCCGGGCTCGCGGATAAACTTGGTGAAAGTAGTGGACTGAGCAAAAGAGCCGGACCCGGAGTCCGTGGGGGGCCGGGAGGAGAGGCTGTGCCGAATGGGGGGTGGTGAGGGGAGTTTCCCGTCCGGATTGGCATTGGGAGTTTCTTCTGGTTCATCTGCCCCATGAGGGCATTGACCTCGCTGGGCTAAACCGGCCCTTGGCCAGGACTCGAGGTCCAATACTCAGTTTCCTGAAGACCCTTGGCCTTACCTGTCCAGCCGTGGCCTGCACGGATGGCATCCTGCAGGGGATGACCCGGACCTGAGTGGGAGCCTTGGAGCAGGGGTAGTGGATGGAAGATGTTACCTTTCTCCTGGGGTGAAAGATACCATAAAGGAGGTTGGACCAGGAGCAACATTTAATCTACAGCAGCCCCCCATGCTATGTGCCTGCCTAGTTGTCTCATTCTTCTGGCCTCAGTTTCCCTGTATGTAAAATGGGAACAAACCCGTCGTCATCCATCTTTCCTGCCCTAAACTGTTGGAAGGTTGAAAGCATTGGAAAACACGAAGCCATCTGCTTGTGGCTCCCTTTTTGTCCCCAAATCAATAGACATTTGAAGATGAGCATATCGGTGCCTGCCGGCAGCCAGACTGACTAGCAGACTGGGGACCACTGCAAGGGGGAGGCTGAGTCAGCAGGTTGGGTGTGTGTTTTCAGTGGGGAAATTTCCCGGGGTGGGGGCTGGTGGGAGGTGAGGTTGGAGGACGGTGAGCTTCAGGAGGTAGCTGGTTCTAGCGGGAGTCCCGGGGCGATGCGGGTTCCTTTGCCCGGGTGTTTGCCTTGGGTGCATGGGTTGGGGAAGGGTCACTGTATAATTTCCCTTGAGGAAACAATTCTTCTGTTGTTTAGTTTCTTCCAGGGCTTTGTTTAGAGGGGAAGAAGTCAGGCGAGTATGATAATAAAGAATCGAGCTGCCCTCGAAGTTTCCTTCTTCGCCGCTCCTCCACCAACCACTGCAGGAAGGAAAGAATTCAAGGCTGAATGTGGGAAAATAAACTTCAAAACACGAGGAGAAGGGAAAAGAGGGGGGTCGGGGTGAGGCAGCCGGGTGCAGCTGGTGGTAGGAGCTTTGGAGTGTTGACAGCTTTCTTAAGGTGTTTGAGCAAACAATATGTTTCTTAATTTGAGGTCCTGTTAACCTCCCCCCCCCCATCACCCCCAAGAAAGCAGGTAACTTAGAAAAAGGATTTGGGCGTCAGGCCAGTGTGATTTGGAGATAATTACGGATAGCCCTGTCCCCATCTGCAGCCAAAAAACTCTCAAACTATCTCCAACTGGGCGAGTCTCCTCCCTTCGTAGGAAAAATCCAAGAAATGAAAACCAGTGGAAGCATTTTGTTAGCGTTACTTTTTTCGTTTCCAGAAGTCTGCCAGGCTCGGCTTTCTGATGCGACTTGGGGCATTGCCCTCGGCCTCAGGAAATTGGTTGAAGGAAAAATGAAAACTCCGAAATCTTTCCAAAGGGGTTGCTGGGGCATTTTCCACCTGAGGTTCTGAATCACCTTTGTAATTCTAAGGAAGCCCTGGCTAGGAATTCCTGGGGTGGGGGCAGGCTCCTGGGAGGGGTGGAGGGAAGCGTGTGGGGGCAGTGCAGTCTGGGTTGGGGTTTTTCCTCACATTGGAAACTGCTTTCAAATTCGTGAGAAAGGGAGTTGACACACCTTTCTCTAGATCTTTGGAAATAGTCCCCGAGTTGTCAGGTGCTTCCTTCCTGTTCAAGCTGTGGTTGAACAGAGGCGGAGGTGGACTTGCAGATGCTCTGCACGCCCCCAGCCTTGGGCCACGTGGCCGCCCTTCTTCCTGCTTCAGAGCCATCTTGACCCTCTGCTGTGACGCTTGCTGCACCAGGCATTGGGCGAACTCTGTCCCCCTAGCCCAGCCGTGGGCAAACTTTTTGACTCGAGGGCCACAATGGGTTCTTAAACTGGACCGGAGGGCCAGAACAAAAGCATGGATGGAGTGTTTGTGTGAACTAATATAAATTCAAAGTAAACATCATTACATAAAAGGGTACGGTCTTTTTTTTCAATAGTTTTATTCATTTCAAACGGGCTGTAGTTTGCCCACGGCTGCTAGCCTTTCCCTAAATTGCAGAGGTTCCCACGAGGGGAATTAGCACAAACTGAGCCCCTGGTGCACATTGTGGGTAGCATCACCATTTGATAAGAGGGCGCAGTCTGGTTTTGCCATCTGGCTTGGCCATTTACCCATCAAGCCATTTAAGTTTCTCATCTGCAACATGAGGTCTGGTAAGGGTCAAGTCAAGTAGAAGCATGCGGCCAGATGTGTGCAGATGTAAGGTAGGAGGGCGAGCTCATCTCCCTGTCATTTGCGCGTTTGGAGCACTGACCAAGGCAAGTTGCCAAGTGCGTTACCTGTACCAGGTCAGGTACTCCTTACAGCCGCCTTGCCTATTTAGATAAGGACACCGAAGCTCAGGGAAGTTAAAGTGGCTTTGGTGACACAGCAAGAAGGCACAGCCTGGGGTGGGGACCCGCTGTCTGCCTCCTGGTGCACCCCTGCCCCCCATCTTGGGCATGTGACACTGTTGGGTGTTTGGTCTGTAAGTGAGTTTAGTAAATTGGTTCAGCTGGACTCTGGTGTGCTGGGAAATTCTATTTTCTCTTCCCCCAAGAACAGGCACCTGCACACAGGCTTCTCCAAACTCTGCCTGTTCAGCTGCCTCCTCCTCCATTACTGAAGGGAGCGCCAGTCCACAGTGCCCCACACGCCACTCCCACGAAACCGCTGAGGATTGGGGTAAAGGGGGAGAATGAACCCTTCTCAGCCTTCACCTCCGGTGTACAGTGATCACAAACAGGAAGGATTTGAGAGCTCACCAACCGCCAGGGCCTTGAGCACTTCATGTACAGTCTTATTTTAATCTAATCCTGGTGACCACCCCCCCTTTAATAGATGAGGACAATGAGCCCCCCCCCAAAAAAAAAATTATATAACTTGCCCAGGATCATATAGTGCAAACTCAGAAAGTGTGTTGTATTCCAAAGTGCACGGGAATTAGTCAGCAAGCATTTATTAAGCACCCACTGTGTTCCAGACAGTGAGTAAGGTGCTAGGAGTCCAAAGGTGAATTAAATCACTGCTTGAGCTGGAGATAAGAATGAGTAAACCCACCACGACTTAGCGCAGAGATGTTCAGGAGGGACTCTTAAAGAGGGCCCCTCATCCAGCCTGAGGGGTCAGGGAGGGCTCCGGGCGGAGGTGACCTCAAGCCAGAGTGGGGTCTTAGAATTAGGGGGGCTTAGAAGGGGAAAGAGGGTTTGGGCTGTGGCTCTCGAGATTCCCGAGTTAACTGGGGTGTAGTAGGGATCACCCCAGGCCCTGCCCTCCACTGGGTCTTTCCATCCCTGACTCTGGGTTTTCCTAGATTGCTCACATAGATGCCCAGTTCCCAGAAGGCTCTTGGATTTCGCTGGCCTCCTTGCTGCTAAGCTGCAAACTGCATTATTCTATTGGGAGGTTTTCCATGTGTCCCAGACCTCTCCTTTTATTTTCTGAACCCTTCCTACTCTATCCATGCTCCTGTCTACAGTAGTGAGGCCCATTCCAATTCTGAGGTCCTGACATCCTGTTATTAACACCAACCCTCCTCCTAAAATGTGAAAAATACAGCTATGCAGTAAAATTATATCCCACCAAAATGCTCAGAATGGGGCACATTCATTGGATTTTTTGGAGAATTGAGGGTTAACATGAAAACCTCTTTTGTGTCAAGCCTCGTTGGAAATTGTAAAAGTGCACTGGTCCACGTAAATGCCTTTGTAAGTACAGGGAGCACAATAGATCTTTTGATTGTCCAGGATCGCGGAGGCCTCCACGTCATTGGCTCACACTTGAACTCTCACCTTCCAGGACTGAGAAATGAAAAGAGGAGAAGCTGGGTTTGGGAGAGGGAATGGAAGAAAAGCATCCCTTTTCTAAAGGCTCGTTTTCTTAGTAATGTTTTGCTCAAAGGCCAGGCAGCCACACACACACACACACACACAAATTTCTCAAACTGATAAGTCTGCCTTAGTTAACTGCTTTAGTTAGAGTTTTAACAGTAAAGTGAATTTTTATTGAATCGTTTTGAGAATTTTACTAGAGCCCTAAGGACGATTAAAGGTGGCATGGTAATAGAGACTCATTGAGGGTAGAAATTAGCAAGTGTTGAAATGTTCGGGTGGGGGTGGGGACTTCCTATAGGAGGGGTCCCAGGGAGGTGATGACTGTGGCTTCTAAGTGTTTTCCTGGGGTTTTGCCATATTTATAGCCTGTCGTTTAAAAGAAACAGAATCTTCCAGTTTTGAATGCTGTGCTTGGCTGGCTCTGACCTCAGGCTTTCATCTTGAACTTGGCTGTTTGCTGTCTGATTGTGCTCAGCCTCTGAACTCTCCGTGTGTGTTTGGGGGTGGGGGGTGGAGGGTACGGGGGATATAGGGAGCAGCAAAGTACAAGGCAGGGCTTTGGGGAGCAGCAGAGGAGCTGTGCCCCGGAGAACGGTACTCCCAAGAAGGTCTTTGTACCAGTTGGGCTGTTCGATCTGAGTGCTTTTACAGGAGCCGACTGGCCGGAAGTGGGCGATACAGAGGCCAGGGAGTGGGTGCTAGAGGGAAACACTCGCTGTCTCCGTGAGCATCCCCATGGATCCGCCCAGCACGCTGGCCAAGGCCTGCAACCACAGGGCAGAGAGGTAAGGGTCCGGTAAGGAAGCTCTCTGGGCTAGCCTAGGAATTTGAACTCACCAAGTGTTTGCAATCAAGTCAGGGAGTGAACAGCATTTCAGAAAGTTCTTCACAGCCCTTTGTAACTTGAAAGGAGTGGAATATTCTACTGTGACCTAACGGTATTTCTGTGGGTTGATCCTTCGCCCCATGAGTGTGGTGATAAGGCCGTTTTCTCCCTTTCTCTGTGATGTGACTGAGTGTGGTTTTTCTACCAAAGCCCGCGGAGCTCACAGCCCTCCCCCCAGGAGCTCGCCATGCTCCCTCACACCTCAACTTTCAGTTAGGGTGCCACTCCCTTCCCCGAGCCCCTTGGGAGGTCCGGGTGTGAGTCCCCCTCCCTGCCAAAGACACCCCCACTTGATGACCTTCCCAGACTGCCCAAGTGGCACTTTTATGTCCAAGTGAGGCAGTTAATCCACTCCCCAAACTTCAGAGGCCTGGGCAGCGTTAGGGATGACAGAGGAGCCCCTCGCTGCCAGCTGTCACTTCTGTGTGTGCTGAAGCCTCAGAAACCAGCCGGGGCTAAACCGGGCTGTGGTGGTGAAAGGAGGGAAATGCGGTCTTGGTGCCGAGTGATGGGTTGCAGATGGTTGAGTCTGGAGAGACCGAGGCGGGTCAGAGGGCCTCGGAGGATTGGGTTTCTGTTTCCTGAGGCCTGTAGAACCCCTTGGCCTACTGGGGACCTGGCCCTGAAAGAAACATAACCCGTGCCCCCAGGGAGCCCCCCCCTTCGGGCAGCCCCCCATCTAGAGAAAGGAAGGTCAGGAGCTGTTACCTGAAGGACATTGGTAAGTGTCCCAGAGGCTCCAAGTGTGTACCATTGAGTTACTTTCTGCTCTGGAACATAGAGGGAGGGGAACACGAGCCCCTGTGAGCATTCTGCTCAGTCCCTGCTGTGTGCTAGGCACACCGTGGGGCAGGTGGTATTGCTCTGCCAGGAATCTGGGAGCCAGGGAATTTGGGCCAGCTACAGGCCGAGAGTCACAGGGCCTGCTGATGGCAGAGCCTCAGGGCCTGACCACAAGTGGAGGTAGAGGCAGGAGGTTGGAGTGGTGGAGTGGGGGTGGGCGGGGCTCTGTGAACTATAGCCCTCTGCAACAGGTACTCTTACTGACTTGCCCGAGTCCATACAGCTGAGAAGTGGAAGCACCGGAATTTGAACCCAGAGCCCACAGGGAGGCCACAATGA